GAGTTGAAGTCCACAAGTCTTAAAGTTGCCAAGGTTGGACACCCCTGATTTAGACTTATATACCACTACATAGTCCTTACAGCACTCTTTGGTGGTTTACAATATCGGCTTATTGCCCCCAACAATCGGAGTCTTCATTTTACTGACCTCGGAAGGCTGAGTCAACCTTGAGTGCCATCAGGGTTGAACTACAGACTGTGGACAGAGCTAGCCTGCAATCCTGAATTATAACCATTAGACCACCAGGACTCCTTCCTATATACTCCATTCCCACACATTGCATTCTACTGTAGAAAGAGTACTGACAAATCATTCAAGATGCCATTACCGTGCAAGTCTAAAACTGAGAGTAGGATGTAAACTGCATTAATGTTACTGTGCATTTGAATTCTGAGTCTCTGCTGTATAGATTTAAAACAGAGAACATCATTAGACTCTAATTATATAAACTGCTATGTAATGGAAGGATTCTTCCAGGTGAAGACTCTTTGCAAACATACTTTTTTTTCTATTTAATAGAAAATATTTTCTTTTCAAAGAAATAAAACAGTTGGAAGAAATAATAGGAAAATTTAGATGACGTCATCTAAAATTCCATTTCAAACAAAGCAATTGCTTAATAAAATGCAATAAATGTGTTACCCAGGTACACTTTAAATTGGCTGATTTCAATGAATCTATCTTTAGATATCCCATCAAAATAAGTAGGTGATATTTCCAAATAAACACAAATGTGTTGCAGAAGAAGGTACACTGAAGATTCAGAACAACATAGTCAAACCAACAATGCAGTCTACTTTTTCATTAAACAGAAACAAAAATCCTACCTTTAACTCACAGTCTTCATTCACTGCTAAATTGCCTGGCTTTAGATCCTGCAGTATACGAAATTAGAAAACGCCATTGTCACTATCACAATTTGAGCCTAAAGTAGATAATTACATAAGCACATTCTTTCCTCCCATCCCAGAGCCATGCATCGGGTTTGCTCCCTAACAAGCACTTAACATGATCCAGGCTGTCTGATGCCCATTTGGTCCTCAGCACTGAAAAAGCAGTTTCCCTGAATGTGACCAGCCAGGATATTCAAAGGAAAAATCTGCTACTGATTAGTATAGGGAATGTCTACCAGGGAGGGGTTGTAAGGTTTTGTCATTCTGTTCCATCAATCTTTTTTCTATTTTTTGATTCAGTTGATTGTTAATCTATTGACTTCATGACTACTGGCTGCCACCAAAAAGGTTGTTTTTCTTAATTGCATTTTAATGGTCACCTGGATTTGTACAGCCTTGATGCACCTGCTCCCCACATAAATATTACTGAAGCCGGAGATGTTAGTGTGTATGAGACACATGTTGAATTGTAGTGTCTCTTACATGCATCCACATCACTTCTCTCAAAATGTTTGTGACCCGTTCATCTGTTGACTAGACATCCTTTCAATCCATCTGCCACGTTCGTTTCTTTGCTACCATCTCATTGTTAACTGGATCTGTATAGGCAAACATCATTGTATGTGGAAGCCATGTCTCTCCTAGGTTACATTCTGGGATGTGGTGAATGTCAGATGCTAAGGTGCAAGAGCCAGGTCTATTCGGTTAACCTTTCAGTTAGGTGCATTAAGCCAGGGATAGGCTAGTCAATTTGAGGTCTTTACACAGTCTAGATTGGCCAAGTTTGGCTAAAACAGCACTGAAGAAATATAGGCAACCCACATGAACCAGATCCCACAGCAGAACTGCCAGCCCAAAGGTACTGGAGCAGGGAAGGAAGGTAATACATGACTTCTGCCTGCCAAAGCAATGGGCTGACTATGAGATGGAGGCTGTGTTGTGAGGAAATATCCTTGGGGAAACAGTAATGGAATATGCTTGTGCTACAGTTAAGGAACTGTGTGGGTGAGTTTTTAAACTATAATCCTGTCCCCACTAAGTTAATAATTTTCTTTTAAGATCAAGAATTGGGTACAATTTAGATTGCACTCTTCTTGCTGGTCGGCAGCAAGTTTTTTAATTTGCTTAACAGCTCTAGCAATATTTTGGAGGGAAGGACACCAAGCAGGAATCTTTCTGCTTTGCCTGTGAATGCTTCACTGCCACAGATGTTCTACTAATAGTGCTGCGGGTGTCACAAAACAGCAGTGGATTTGCCAGATCCAAATTTCCTTATTCTTCTTAACAATTTTCTCTCAAACACCCGATGCCACGTTGGCGAATTGCCTTCCATTTCATTCAACGGGAGGGGGGGAACCTGTTTTTCTATCTCTCCCTGTTGTTGTGCTGCTGCAGCAGAATGACAGGACAGAGGGTAATAGTAGTCAGCCTGTAAAGGCCTTTCATTTCCCAAACCCTCTGTTGTAATTATTAAGAGCTAAATTCCTCTCCTTCACCACAATGAATGAGAATATAAATATTCTCTGTGGCTCCAAATATTGTGCATCTGACTCTCTCTGCAATTGTGTGGTATGTACTAATAGGACAGGGTGAAACATTTCTGCTCCATGTGTTCAACCAGGAAAATATTTTTCCTCTTTGAAAAGCACCTAATAGTTTCTCTCTCTCTCTAAACAAGCATTTTTCTCTCAGTTCTGTAATGTTTTCATTGGATTATTTCCATGTTTAAAAACTGGCCTCAGGGCATGCAGGAGGTCTGTCTAGGGATGTCTTCTGTTTGGCTGACATGTATATGTTTTCCTCAGGCAGTTTTCAGCTGCCATAGAAAAAGGCAAGCCAACAAGTTGGATTATAGGGTTTGATGCTGAAATGTATGAGGGAATTGTCAAATGAAGTATATCTCGGTGGGGGTAGAATGTATTTCCTAAGGTGAGATGTGCCATGTAGCTACTAATTTCCACCAGTAGCAGGAGATTGGAGAGACTGCAGACATTCTTATGTGAACATTGCATGGAAACTTGTGTTTATTAAAACATTGATGCCTGAGCATCGTGTGGGGTATGATCTGGGCCCTGCTCCTGACCACAAAAAGTTTTGGATCTACACAATGATTTTTTTTCCCTTTCTGGGGACAGATATGTACAATTGGCCAGGGTTCCCATATTAATATGGTTTTGCTAGTCTTTGACTTAGCTTATAAAGTGGGAAGCGTTGCTAAACAAATCCCAATTTAGTTAATTAATTCTATCTTTGTAAATATATGGAAGGAGAACATCTTAACTCTTCTGTTGCTTTCCAACGACTGGGGATGGATTGTTTTACAAGGAAGAATCACTGGGCTAGGAAAGAATTTAGCAATTTCACACATCCCCTGTCTCTCTCTATTCTTGCATAACTGTGTTTCTCCACACTGTTACAAAGGAAACAAGGAATTTCCAAATTTGGGGATAGGGTGATATCAGCTGAATAAGATAAGAGTGGCTGTAGTAGTTGTTTGTAACATGCTAGTGGGCCAGAATTAGGACATTGCCACCAACTGCCAAGAGGCTTCTAGAGAAGTGTGCAGGTTCTCTTCTGAGGGGACAGAAAAACAAAGGTCATTTGGTTTCAGCATAGCAGAGATTAGGCGATCTTTTTACATACTAAAGAGGTTTGAAAAGATTGACAACAAAAGAAGTTTAGCAATATGCCCTAGTGCAGTCTCCATAGCTTGGGGCCAGTGGTGTTTGAGGCTGGGAGATTATAGGAGCCACAACTGGAAGGCAGCAGGTTGTAGAAGGCTGCATTGGTACAGGAATAACTTTAAAAAGAACATACCCTGTGAATGATTCCAGCAGAGTGAATATACTGCAAAGAAAAGAAAAAAGTCCACATGAAGATTACATACAGCCTCCTCCATAATTGATATTAATCAAGATTCCCTGTGATAAGAGTATGTTCTATGTATTATTTTAGGTTACACAAAGTATCTTTCCTTTTGGATTAATTATCTCAAAACAACACTTAGAAAGTGGAAACACCATTTCTAGCGAAAAGAAAAATAATCCAATAGAAATATTGTAGAATTTCTCAGAGCTTCTTATCAACAAGCAAAGGCAACCCTGATGAGGCCTTTTATTTTTGTGAGAGGGACTCTGGTGAAATAAACTCTTTTTCCTACTGTTTTCTCCTGCCTTATTTTTGCTAAGTCATGAGCTCTGGCAATCTTCCATTACTGATGACTTTCTCATAAGCTGAACGACTAGCCCCAGAATCTCCAGGAGGTGTCATCACCACTGGATGGGTATGATAGGAGATGTGAACCAAGGTGAGGACGCTGATAATGAACAATTCAATACAGAGATAATAGCCATCTTGCTTACAACCAAGCCATCTTGGCTACAAGCCAGATGCTGTGGATGGGAATGATGCAGAAATGGGAGATGCTTCTGAGTTGAGAAACTCCAGGTACTGTAAATGATAAGGTCCACCTCATGTGGACGTAAGTATGCAAAGCGAATTAAGGATTTAAGGGCCTTTATATCAAAATTCCAGGAAGTTTAACAACCAGCTCTTGCAAGCACATCCCTCGATATAATCACGCAGGAGGTAGGTGGAAGTCCAAAAGGCTAAAGTACAAAAGAATTTTAAAGTCACAAGGGAAGTAAAAGCAACAAGAAGGGTTTTTTCCCCCCCTGGCCATTACAATAGTAAATGAAGAAAAAGGAAAGAGCTTGAGACCACTTGTTAGAGAAATGGTAATGTAGTAGCAGATGACAAATGGAAAAAAGGCCCCTTTCAACCTCTTTTTTTCCCCCTTTCATCTTCCTTGTGATATATTTATTCCTTGCTCTATTAAAAGAGATTTCCCTCTAGGGAGGAGTGGCAATCCATTAGGGAGCATGTGACTTCTGTGAACATGTGTAAATCTCTGGGTCAAACCAGCTGCATCTGAAAATCATGAAAGAGTTTGCAGATGTTACCTCCAAGCCCTTTTCTGTGATCTTAGAGAAATTATGGAAAATGGAGAAGGGCAAATGTTGTTCTGATCTTCACAAAGGAAGGGGGGAGGGGGAGGGGGAGGGAAAGACCAGAATAATTACCAACCAGTAAGCCTGTAATTGACACATGACAAAACTCTGCAATAGATGATTAAAAAGCTGTTTAAGGAGAATTAAAAATCAATAAATTACTTGGCAGAAGCCAGCAAGTGTTCATCGAAAAGGAATAATGCCAAATGAAGTAGATGCTTTTGGACAAAGTGGTTAATTTATTTATTATAGGAATGTAGCTTGACTTCAGCAAACCATTAGGCAAGGCTTTTGTCATAAGACCTTAATAGAGAAAATGACACAAAGTTGACGGGCTTATGCTATTTTTAGACGGAAACAGAGCTTGTACAATCACACCCCATGAGTGCCGTCATGTCAGTGACTCACTATCAGGCTGGAAGGAATTGTTGCAGAGGTGCATTATTCTTTTTCTACATCTGCTTTCATTTTAATAAAGCTTTCTAAAAAGAACTTGGAGAGATTCATGTTTAGGGAAAAATATCACTTTCAGGTAAAGATCTGACAGATACAAAGGGTGACTGTGTATTGTGTTGAGGGAAAGTGTCAAGTGGGTTAGACCCTGTGTTGTTCAACAACTATCTAGAATGAGAGATTAGAAAAAAGTAATTATCACATTTTTAGATAACAAATATATGGGAAGATAGCAAATGCCTAAGAGAGCATCTTGAAAAGTTGAGGAGATGGGCAGAAACCAGCACAATTAATTTCAACTGGGACAGAAGTAAAATCTTTCATTCACATAGGAAAAACCAAATGCTTGGTTATAGCAACTAGCAGAGCATACTTCACACCAAGACAAATAATCCGAATGTCTTGGTGGATTTATTATAAAATTATTATGAGCCAAAAGGCATTTGCCAAAAAGAAATGGCATCTGATCTGCCACATCAACAGACATTGCATATCAAATCAAGAAAATCATTCCCTTCTATTCTGCATTGGTTAAGACTTCACCTTGAATAGTTTTCAGTGCCATAATTTTAAGAGGTTATTCACAAAACAGCAACCAAGACAATAAGATGGCTTGGATAGAAAAATATAGGAGAAACAGCTGGTGCTGGATATTATTTTTCACTTGAGAAGAAAAGTTTGCAGAGAGATACTGTGGCTGTCTCCATATCTGAAGAGCTATTATATGGAAGACAGGGCAGAAATATTTAGAGTCATTTCAGAAGACAGGATAAGAAAAAATGGTGTACGTTACCAGGGGTCCCCAAACTTAGGAACTTTAAGACTTGTGGACTTCAACTGGAAGTCCGCAAGTTTTAAAGTTGCCAAGTTTGGAGACCTCTAGGCTACAGTAAGAGTCTTTCAGCAAGGCATGTATTCTTGGATTGGAAGTCTTTAAAGGAAGCTGGATGACTCTTGGTCAGGGATGCTAAAGTACAGCCATGTACTAGGCAGGGAACTAGACTGTATGATTCCTTTTGCTCCTTTCAATCCTACAGTTAATTAGGTGTTCAAAATCTAATAAAAGATGTTGCCACTACAAAGATGCTAAAGACATGAAGTAGCCTGGCAGAAATTTCTGTTCTGAATGTTTATGAAGTTACTTACCTTCAAGCCCTTCAAAACCTGGTAGATCAGATACTGAATCTTTTCCTCACTGAATTGGTGTCCCATTATCTTTTGTAAATCTGTCTGCATGTATGGCATCACCAGGTAACTAAAAAAAATGTAAAAGGTAAGTATCAGATAAAGATGTAAGGTATAATGTAGTTAAATAGTTCTAAGACTCTTACTGATTTTATAAAATTCCATTTCTGAAAATAAGAGTGCAGGGGTGTATTTTAGAACCAGGAATGAGAACAATAACTTTATCTCATTAAATCAAATACTGTAGCAAACAATGTTATTGCAACTTAATCTTTTTTTACTGCAGCCCATAACAAAATCCTCTGAATTTCTCTGAAACCACTACATCTATGTCTAAAATAAGTCTATTGTCTAATAGTTTAGTTGATGTGAGACTCATACTGCTGGCTTTTGAGATCCATTTAATCTATGCTTTTCAATTCCTGGCTCTGTGTTTATCCATACAACACAAGGGACTACCAGATAGAATAGCTATTGACTGGCAGCTAAGGCCCAGTTGATTTGCACTGACTTCTTATGTAGTTACTAATTATATAGAGGTAAGAGTCAACTTTGAAATCCTTAACTATGGTACAAACCATAACACAAACATTTCCTTATGATATTGCTTTTATATCCCCAACCCACACCTATGGCAGCTTAAAGTAATCTTAAAATGAAATGTTTCAGCTTAAAGTGATGTTCTCCATCTTCTACCAATGCAATTCTTGCTCTGGATACATTCTAGCATGCTTCATTGATGATATTGGTGATGGTCAGGATTTTGAACCTGTCTATTTTCTAGTGGCCATCTAAGCTGCTACAGGTTAGGTTAGCCTCTCACCCTGAAACCACAGGGACTGCCCTCCATTTCAATCTGGACTGTAGTAATCACCAGGGACATAGCTTCTGTTATGTTCGCCGTGCGTAAGGAAGCTGGGGAGTCAGTGACCAGTTTCAGCTCTTTATTTGGTCCCGAGATCGGCTCAGTGCGGCTAGGGCATGCAGCGGCTTTTATAGAACTAGCCGGCCAAGCTGCGGCCAATGACATTGCTTTGAATCTCCCGCGATCGGTTTCCTCCAATCGCGGGAGATTCTCCGCGGGCCAATCAGTGCGGCTCGTTTGGCCAATCGGATCGCTGCGCGTCTTAGCCAATCAGAACGGGTGTTTACAAGAATGTTAATGAATAGTACAGAACACCCCTCCCCTCTTGGTAGGGTCCTACGTGACGTAGTCTCGTAAGTAGGCGGGGCTCCCTACTTGTCGACTGGACCTGCGCAGGTTAGTTGGTGTCTGGTCTCTGAGCGGTTCGGTCGGGTCCTGTGTCGCTCCTCGCCTCGTTGATGGAACCGCCTGGAAGGTTGAGCCAGGCCTTTCGCCGCAGCTCTCTCCCGGTTTGCTCGGGTTGGTTGAGCTGTTGGCTTTGTTGCTCCCGCCTAGTCTTTCTGGGCTGGTTGAGCTGGCTTGGCTGCTTCTCCCAGGTGAGGCCTCGAGCTGTTCGTCTGTTCCTGTCATGGTTGGTGAGTATTCTTGGTTCCCTTCTTGTTAGGGTTGGCTGTTTTGGTTTCCGGGGTTTTCCCTCCCCTCTTGGCTGATGTCGGGGTTTCCCCTTCCCCCTGTGGTTTCTTTTTGCGTGTCGATTGTATTTCCTGTGTTGATTCTTGATCTTAATTGATCGATGTGTCTTTTCCATGCTCGACCGTCGGTTGTCTGTAGCCGGTACGAGCGGGGACCTGTCACCTGGGTTATGGTTGCTGGTACCCAGAGTGGGTCCCCTGTGAGGTTTTTTGCGTATACTGCGTCTCCTGGTGTGAATGTTCGGTGTTTGCTGGATGAGTCGGGGGGGTTTTCTGGGTTGTATGTGGGGTGCAGTCTGTCGAGTGGGGACCTTAGTTTCCTCCCCATTAGTAGTTCTGCCGGGCTTTTGTTGGTTGTCGTGTTAGGGGTTATATGTTGTATGAATAGCATTTTATTAATTTTCTCCTGTATTTCCCCGGTTTCTATTTTTTGGAGTTTTTTTCGTAAATTGAACCATTCGTTCCGCCCTCCCGTTCGCCGCCGGATGTGCCGGCGCTGTCAGCGCATGCCGTATTCCCCGTTCCGCTAGGAATTTTTCGAATTCCAGTGAGGTAAATTGGGGCCCGTTATCTGATACAATGACATCTGGGAGGCCGTGGGTGGAGAATAGTTTGTTGAGTTCTTTGGTGACGGCCTCCGTGGTGGTAGTTTTCATGTTGCTTACCTCCAGCCAGTTGGAGTAAGCATCTACCGTGATGAGGAAGGTGTGCCCCTTCGTAGGTCCGGCGAAATCTATATGGATCCTGGACCATGGTCCCCTGGGGGTTTCCCATTCCAGGATTGGGGCGGAGGGGGGGCTTGGCCTGGATTCTTGGCATTGTCTGCATGCCGCCACCCAAGCCTCGATTTGCCTGTCCATTCCTGGCCACCAGGTGTAACTCCTGGCCAGGGCTTTAGTCCTAACGATGCCCGGGTGTCCCTCATGCAATAATTCCAAAACCCTTTCTTGTAGTTTTTCTGGGATGACAACCCTATCCCCCCATAGTAAACAACCTTTCTGTAAGGACAGTTCTGTTTGTCGGTTCCGAAACATCCTGAATTGTTCGTCGTCGTCTTTTTCCGGCCACCCTTTCTCTACCCAATGCAAAATCCGCGCCAGACGTTTGTCTTTATTGGTTTCGCGGGCAATGTCTGACGCGGTTACAGGCAGGTTGGGTAGATTCTCTATGCTGAGGGTGGATGTTGTAGGTGCTGGGTCAGCGTCCAGGTCGGGTAGCGGCGTGCGGCTCAGGGCGTCTGCGTGGCTAATTTTCTTACCGGGTCGGTGGGTTAACCGGTAGCTGTAGGCAGCAAGGAATTCGGACCACCTTGTCATTCTTGGAGATAGAATGTTCGGGGTGGCCCTGTTCCCTGCCAGGATTCCCAGCAGCGGCTTGTGGTCGGTGATGATGGTGAAGGTCCTGCCATAGAGGTACTCGTGGAACCTCTTGACAATGGCGACGATTGCCAGAGCCTCTTTGTCCAGCTGACTGTAATTTCTTTCTGGTTTTCAGAGAGTTCTTGAAAAGAAGGTGATGGGTGCTTCTTTTCCGTCGGGGAGGATGTGGCTGAGGACTGCTCCGACGCCGAAAGGTGATGCGTCGCATGTGACGGCTAGTGGTAGGGTCTCGTTGTATTGGATGAGGACAGCATCCGATGTGAGCAGGTCCTTTGTTCTGTTGAAAGCAGCTTCCTCGCGTCCCCCCCAGGTCCAGGTTGCTGTTTTATCCAGCAGCCTATGCAACAGTTCCGCCGCGGTCGCCTTTTGGGGTAAGAACACATTATAGAAATTAATCAGTCCCAGAAACGCCTGCAATTCCGTTTTATTCTTTGGCCTGGGGGCTTCTTTGATGGCTCTGATTTTTTTTTGGGTTGGGTGAATCCCGTGCCGGTCTAGGAGATATCCCAGGAACTCGACCCTCTCAGTGTACAGCTGGCATTTTTCTTTTTTGACTTTTAGCCCCGCGTTTTTGAATTTTTGTAGTACCTCCCTCAGGCCACCCTCCAGTTCCTTTCGGTTGGCTGCTGACACCAGCACGTCGTCGAAGTAGGGCACCACCCCCTTGATTCCTTGCAGGAGTCTTTCCATGAGGCTCTGGAAAATTCCTGGCGCTACGCTGACTCCGAACTGGAGCCTCTTGCAGCGGAAAGCCCCCCGGTGGGTTACTATGGTTTGCGCCTCGGCGGTTTCCGCGTCGACCGGCAATTGTTGGTAGGCTTGTGCCAGGTTGAGTTTCGCGCAAACCTTGCCTCCCCCCAGTGAGTGAAGGAGGTGCTGCACTACTGGGATGGGGTAGGCGCTTTGTTGTAAGGCGCAGTTTAGGGTGGCCTTATAGTCCCCACAGATTCTCACTGACCCATCGGGCTTGACTGGGGTGACTATTGGGGTCTTCCACCGGGCGTGGTCGGTTGGCTCTAGGACCCCTTGTTTGATGAGTTTGTCTATCTGCTCATCGATCTTTGGGCGGAGTGCGAAGGGTACCCGCCGTGGCTTTAGGCGTATCGGGGGGACGCTGGGGTCTAGGCTGAATGAAATAGGGGGCCCTCGGTACTTGCCTAGGGTGCCGTCGAACACTTCCTGGAAGTCCCTTGCGAGTTGCTCCTCCCAATCCGCCTCTGCGATGTGGTCAATTCCCGTTACTTCGATCCCGAGCGGCGTGAACCACTGTAGTCCCAATAGGCTGGGTCAGTCTTGGTCCACGACGGTCAGGGGAAGTCTTGCTGTGCGCCCTTTGAATGTGACTTCAAACTATCCTGTTCCGACTACAGGGATGCGGTTCCCTTGGTAGTCCTTTAGGATTAACTTCTGGCTCTCCAGCCCCTTCTTGTGGATGGTGGGCACCAGGCGCTTGATTTCCTGCCATGCAACCATGGAGAGGTAGGACCCGGAGTCCACCTCCATTTTGCATGGCTTGCCCTCGATGCCCACTTCCACGTATACCTTTTGGGCGTCCGTGCTGGAAGAATGGCTGATGATGACCGTCTGGTGGGTCTCCTCTCTGTCGGTTCTCGCCGTTCCTCCGGTCCCATCCATCCCGGTTCCAGCGACGCTCGGTTTGGTGGTCCCTTGTCCTGGGGGGGGGGTGCCGTCCAGTCTCCGGCCGCTGCTGTCTCGTCGTCGGGGGCTGTAGGCTTTCTTGAACCGGCAGACTTGGGCGATGTGGCCTCTCTTGTTGCATTGCCGGCAGGTTGCATCGAAAAACCGGCACTCCGATCGAGGGTGGTCGCCCCCGCACCCGGCACATTGGAGTCCCGACTTACGACTCCACCGTTCGCGCCGGTCTCGTTCTGTCTGGAGTTGATGGATGTCCTCCTCTTCGTCCGTGGTGTCGGAGGCGGAGTCGAGGTCGCCATGGTGGGTGGTGGTTGCTTGGCGGCTTGCTTCTGGATGCGCCTTGGCCATCGGGGTCACCTCAGAAACTGTGGTTCGGTCCCCGGTGTCGGGTCTCCGCATTCGGGCCGCTGATTTTCGGGTCGCCTCGGCTGCGGTGGCCTTGGCGAGGGCGTCAGCGAGGGGGATGTCGCCCTTTGCC